CTCAATAGAATGATCTTTGAAGGCGAGTTTGATAAAATAATCAAAGGAACTTGCTTTTTTGTTATTTTTACAATGTGATTTTTTCAATTTAAGTCTGATGTAACCATGACTCCCAGGTCATTTTGCTCTGTTAGTTACAGTTGATAGATCTGACCTGTTCAAAGAGTATTCATGGTTCGCATTGTTTAGGCCAATTTCAAGCACTGTACATTTTGCCTCATTCAGTTTAATTCCCCATAATTCTGACCAGTTTTCAACTCTTTTCAAGACTTCCTGAAATTGATTTGCATCAAGTAGTGGGTTTGCATAAAGTTTGCCATCATCAGCAAAATTTTTCATTTCAATCAGATCAACAAGATCAAATAGATAGGCAGTAAAGAGCAGTGGCCGCAACACCAATCCCTGGACAACTCCACTCTGAACTAACTGTCTGCTTGACATTTGTCCATTTAATCTTACTTGGTAGTATCTTTTATCTTCTTATGGTCCAGGAAAATCAAGTCTGTGGGTTGAGCATTGTCATAGTTTTCTATCCAGTTATTGAAACATTTAAGCAAGTTGGTAGTTATTTATTTATTATTTTATTTATTTATTTACGGGTAACCCCCATTAATAGTTATAATATACAACAAAAATGGTTATGACTCTAGATTGTTATGAATTAAATCTAAAAATATGTATCACTTCAGAGTTTCATTTACATACTAAAAAGTAATCCTATACAAATGATTTCGAAATTGAGACAAAGTTAAACCAAATATTTCTATGTGATAATAATTAATTAACTTACAATATCTATCTATTGGTGAGTTTTGAACATAGTTAGTACGATGATAGGGAATGTTAAAAGACACAAAATCGCCTCTTCTATTTCTAGTCGGTGTGTCTATATTTATGCATAGCAGGAGATCAGCAGAATCAATCATACCATTGACCAACTTGCAAACAAAAATCATTCCAGCAGAGTTTCTCCGGTTAGAAAGGGTTTTCACTTTCAGCTGATTTTCAATGGGAGCATAATCATGATCAACAATCACAAGCCCTAATCTGAATGCACAATGTCTTAGAAATTTGTGCTGAATCTGTTCAATAGTTGCTTTGTGAACTGCATGATATGGTGACCATACTACTGAAGCATATTCCAGCTTCGAACGCACCAAAGAACAATAGACACTCCTAGCAGTTTCAAGTGAAAAGTTTTTACAGTGTCTTAAAACAAAACCCAATAGTTTAGACGAACTCACTGTGAGATTGTGAATGTGACCTACAAAACTCAAACTTTCATCAAATAATACCCCCAAATCTTTAACCTTGGAGACATAAGTCAGAGTTTCGCCATTTAATGTATAGGAAGTGTCAAATTTTTTCTTGCCTTTTATTTGAAAAAACTAATAAAACAACATTTGTTGACATTCAGATAAAGCTTGTTGTCTGTGCACCAGCCCGTCAGCCTGTCAAGATCGTCCTGCAAAAGCCGTTGATCATCCATACAATTTATGATTCTATATGCTTTAAAATCATCTGCAAATGCCAGCCCGTCACTGTTCTCAAAACACTCAAATATGCTGTTAACAAAAAGATCAAAAAGCAAAGGAGAACAGTGGCCCCCTTGGGGAACTCCTGAGGTGACATTAATAGTATCTGATTGAAAAGAACCAATTTTGACCATCTGCAGGTGACCCGACAGAAAACTACTAGCCCACTTAACTGATTTGATACCAAAGCCCATATTGAAAAACTTCTTTAAGAGTATCTGGTGGTCTACCCGATCAAAAGCTTTAGAAAAATCTGTATAAATCGCATCAACCTGATTGAAATTTTCTAAAGCAGAGATTATTTTATTTTGATATAGAAGCAAGTTGGTTGTGGTAGACCGGCCAGAACAAAAACCATGCTGATTACTATTTATCAGACTTCGACTAATCCACTTAAGCTGATCTCCCATTAAACTGTCAAATAGCTTTGCTATGGATGACTGTATACACACACTTCTGTAGTTGGTGACATTGTTTATTTCTCCACTCTTATATATAGGTACAATAAAACTGTGTTTCCATTTGTCCGGGTAGAAACAAGAATCTAAGGATCTCTTGAACAGGATATGCAATGGCTTGACTAATAAACATATAGACTTTTTTAGGATTATATTAGGTATTCCATCCGGACCTTTTGTATTTTTATTTGGGAGATTACATATCTTATTAAAAATATCTTCTATGGAAACATGAGAAAAATTGAAGCACTCGGAACTCACGTCAGACGTTTCAGAAACTATCCCCTCCAAATCAAGATTGCTAGGAGTGTAAACTGTCTCAAAATATTGTTTAAACAAGTCCACAATATCTTGGCCATTTTCCGCCAAACGACCATTATAAAACATTGATTGAGGAAGGGTGTGCGAACTTTTTAAGTTCCTTATGTATGTCCAGAAATATTTTGGATTAGCTTTAAATTCATTATCAACATTATTTAGGTATTGAGCCCAACATATTTCTCGAACCCTCTTACACTCCGAACGCAACCCTGAAAACCACACATAATCAAGAGGAGATTTAGAATTATTATAAGCTTTATGAGCAATCTTTTTCTGGAACGTAAGACTTCGAAGCTCTTGTGAAAACCATTTTGGAAATGTGCTTGTGTGATATTTTTTTAAAGGAACATATAGAGCAATACCCATCTCGAGAATTTCATAAAAAGAATCCAAAGCTAAATTAATCTCATTATGTGAAAGGCATTGCTCCCAGTTTATACTAGCTAGAAAATTGTTCAATCCCAGAAAATCAGCGTTACGGAAATCATGGTAGAGATCATGAAGCTGAAGGCCTTTACTTCCCTGACTTTTACCCATAATTAAACAGCATTCGTAGCTAACATGATGTAAACTATTATCAAAAATAATATCCCTAGCTAAACTAACTACAACGTTGCTATCATTAGAAAACATCAAATCTAGGAACACATTTCTATGATTAGGAATATTAATACATTGAAAAAATTGCAAGAAACCAAAAGATTGAGCAACCTGAATAGCCGCGGATGCAGCTGGACAGTCAACTCTCACTCCAAATCCATCATTCGACCAACTTGCCTCAGGTAGATTGTAGTCACCAAAAATATACATTTTTTGAGATTTGCAAGACTCAAGAACATGCTCCACAGACTCACAGTGCATGTTGTAGTAAATATTTGGCATGTTGGGTGGTATGTATACCCCAGCAATCACAAATTTGTTCCCATGGAAGCTACATGCGACAAACAGCTGTTCTACATTGTGCTGGTTTATGTAAACTCTCATAGAGCTGATTGATTTCCTAATGTATATAAGTATACCACCGCCGCTAGATTTTTGACTAGTAAGATGAGACCGATCCAAGCGGAATAAATTAAAATCACAGCACTCTAGCTCACTGTCCATGAAGTTATCACATAAATTACTTTCGACTAGTACAATAATATCATATGAAGAACTATTTACTGCTAATTTCAGAAGCTCAATCCTTGTACGAAGGCCACTGACATTTTGATAGTATACCATTAATGGGGAGGTAGTTAGTTTTCCTGATTGCTTGCCTTTTTAGCGACTACCACTGGCATACCTTTAATATATCTGATGACTAGGTCTTCCCCTACATCCTTTCTTCTTGCAAGTTCTTCACGAGCTTCTTTGTAGGCAGCCTGCTGCATTTTTGTACAATCATATGCTATTTTGTAAGCACTGGACGCCAGTTTCTGTTTGCATCGAATGGCCTTTCTAATGATATCAGTATTATTGCATATTAACTTCAACGGTCTAGGCTTTCCATCAGCCCTTTTCTGACCCACACGGATGACTTTGCTAATAGCAGCAATTTCATCCTGGAAGCCAAGAGCAGTGAAGACTTCTTTTGCTATTTTCATGTCATACTCAATTCTGCTTTGAAGAATATTCTCAGCAGATTCTTGGGTACCAAATACCATTAAATTATTCGCTCTCATTGCGCGCTCACGTCCTTCTAACAAAATCTCTTCAATATTAGCAGCTGGTTTAGTTTTCAGATTTTGTATTTCAATTTTGAGAGTATCCACCTCTTTTTGCAGCTCTTTAACCCTCCTTATAACCATGGGGGCTGACTTAAATGCATCACGACACTCCGGACAGAGGAACATAAGTGTCCTCTTCAGAAGCACCACAGCTCTAACTTCCGAGGCAGCCATTTCATGTTGACTTGACTGCTAATTGCGATTAGTTGTTGAACATTTCGAAAAAAACCCAGGTTGGGATGATGAAATTAAATTATTTTCAAAAAAGAAATCTGCTAGTTCTCTCACTATTATTTATTCCATACATTTTTAAGGGTTAAGCCGCTTCCAGATTAGTAAATAAATGCGTTGCGTTGAATTCGGGATTCGCCACAAATTTTTGCGGCACAAATTTGACAGCTTGACCAACATAAATATTTGTGTTGTGCGCCGTGCATTCTTGCTCAACGCGTGTGTGCCTATTTTATTTCAGTGTGCGCGTTGCTTGTTTTTGGATATTTGTTTCGTTCACGAAAAAATGCGTCCACATTAGAATGATGTTGCGCCGCAAATCCCTTTGATGTCTTGAAAAAAACCGACAAGCTGCGGATCGCGTGCTGTGAATGTCGCGAAAATTTTTGCGTGCGTCTGTATGCAGAGAACAGGTCCACACTCGCATAAATTTGTATCGCACACACAAATTTGTGCCGAATACCACGCACAATGTAAATTTTTACTAATGTGGACGCGGCTTAAGGCTGATGGGGCAGCAAGAGAAACTATCAACATACTTTCCAGCTGACAATGGACGTAGATAAATTCTAAACTCTTTCTTGGATAAGCGAATAGAACTGGCTGATTTCGCCACAAATATGAAAGAAAACCTTATAGATTTAGCTGCTGACCTCATCCTTAAAATGGAATTTCATATGCAAAGTTTTGGATTAAAATAAAATAAGAATACACAGAAACACTGCTTTAGAGACTTGAATAGTTACCAATGGTAATCCTAAGCCAGCCCGTGCCCAATTAACCCCTGCTAATTTTTCCTTCAAAACATCAGCAACAGGACTAATTAAATTCGAGGCTGGAAATAAAGGACTCTTGCAAGAAGGGCAAGTGTAGCCTCTAGGAGCTGTGGTTGGCGGCAGTTGCCTCGAATAATGGTCGAGACAAGACCAGTGGAAAACATCTAGAACAATTCATTTCTTAGCCAAAAGCAGGAACTTATAAAGACTACTACTTACGATAACAAGTTAATCTTATACTGTCCTCCACATTTAAGTCTTTCGAACAAAGTTCGCAAATTGAATTATAGTCGCTGTCTTGCAGCCATTGCAGATATGATTGTACCACACACTATAATGGAATTGGATTGTTTATGTGGTATTTTAATTGATGCATTTTGTACTTACAATTGGGTGATTTGTGACCATACAATTTTCACAAACGCACACCCTGTGTTCGAAACAAAATTGATTGGTTACTTGTTTTTTAGGGCACTTACACAATCCCATTGTTTTATTACAATATTGCTGATTATTATAGTAATATTGGTTAATTTATATATTTGGGGATTTGCTTTTGCAGCCTCCACGTATTTGAAATAAATTTGACGTTTGTTTGTTTGTGTTTTTTGACAGATGGAAAGCGGTGTGTGAACTGAACTTAGCTGGGGATGCGTTCGACAACCTGCTGTAGGATCCTCAATAGTTTTGCAACTAAAATAGAGGTTGAGAGTCCCGCCCCAAGTTTGTCGTTTCGTATAAAATCTCACAGCTGCCGTTCGGAAAAGCTGAGTGTGGATAAACATCACACGGTTTTTGGCGTTCGGAAGGGTGGTTGTCACATCCTTGAGCGCGCTCCGAACACTCTAGTTCCGACTAGTGACTGTTCCGACTCCGACTAGACATATATTACACTGACATTTTAAGGATGCATTAATGGCCGGTTTCTCAATAACCGCTTTCCAGCTGACGCTTTTGAGCACGCAATCGAGCTTTTACGCGCGCAAATGCTGCGCTTCAAGAGCTGCTAACTTTTGCGTTTTAAACACACAACACTGTGTTGCACCGTGCTTGATGCACACAGCTGGAAAGCAGCTTTTGATATCGATATACCGATATATCGGTCAAAAAATATGGGCCGATATTATATCGAAAAATATCGTCCATTCGATATATCGATATTTTTTCAACATCCCTAGCCTCATGTCCTGTCGGTTGTCACCAGTGTCACCACTAGTTTTCATCATTCATCTGTCCCTTTCAAAGTCAAAAAAAAATTAAGCCAAATCAAAATAAAAAGCAAAATGGAAAGACCAAAAATAGCAGAAAGCCCCTTAGAACTGCTAGACACCCCCGGAATCGAGCCGGGCTTAATTAATCAATATTTCGGTCCAGTAGCTTTTGGAACTCTAGGTTTGACGACTTCGGTTTTGGCACATTGGGTTACCAAAAGACCCATTTGGAGCGGTTAGCATTGTTACATAATTCTTCAATTATCCATATCCAAAAAACCTTTTTTTTTTAAGGTCTGCAAATCCATGTCGCCTCCACCGCTCTCGGCGCCTATATCGGACATTACATGGAGAAAAGGAGGAACGCAAAAATGGCAGTCCGAGACGCTATATTCCGTGATTATATTCGGCTGCACCCCGATGAATTTCCACCTTACGGTAAAAATTTGTTTATGAAATGAGCTTCTAATAATTTGTTTCTGTTTCTAGAAAGAAAACAATATAAGGATATATTTGAAAAATGGATACCGATCCGTTAGGAGGCGAATATTGTTGTTAAATAATTGATTAAGAATAAATAGTTTGTTTAGATGACTTTATCTTAAACTCACCTACTTATTCTTAGTAAATGTCTTCTTGACTTATGTTGTCTTGATCATTGAATCTCCTACCTCATTTTTGAGGCATGGATATTCTTCAGAGTAATTATTCTACTCATTCTACTCCCATAGTGAACATTATTGAAATATTAGGAATTCCAAAGATAACATTCTACGAGAATTGGAAAAAAATGCAAGTACAAAACCAAACAAAGACAACTATGAATATATTATTTTTAAAAATCAACTGTTAAGAATTCCCTAAGAAAATGAGGGTGAACAAATAAATAGACAAAAAAGACCCAGAATCGATTCAAGTCCTACGATTATGGAACGCAGTGATTTTGAAGTCGCCACAGAGCATCATAGTCATGATGTAAATAACAGACCAAATACCAATCATAACAACACTGAGGAAATATACTGGTGTCCCTAAACACAATACAATTAGTCTTGATGAAAGATGGCGGTAGTAATGCACTAGCAATAAAAGATCACAATGAGGCTCAGGAATCAATATTCAAAGCAATTCAGGGCATAACCCTGCTTGGATATCGAATGGGACAATTGGAAAACGAAAATAGTTACATCAAAGAGTTAACACAAACTAAACTGGTGGACAGTTGCTTTGCAACATGGAAAATTTTACCCAAATTCAAATCTCGATATTTTCAGAACGGAAAGAGATATCGAGTTGCGGTATTCGGGAGGTTCTTGACCAACTCTTTGAGAACATGCACAAGGTTTGACCGGTATATTTCTTGCATTTGTACACTTATACAGGGTGAGTAAAGGAAGCCATGTTTTTTTGACAAAGTTTGGGGCTATGCCAGATTCTCAATTTTTGATTTTGAAAATTTTTATGTGCATCTTTTTGATCTTTGGACTATTCCAAAAAAAGTAATTTCTCAAATTTTTCGAAAGTTGGCTATAACGCGAATTATCGAATTTTTAAAAAAGGGTTACATTTATCCCTAAAAAAGTGACTTTGCCGAAGTTTCGCTTGAGAATGGGTATTTTTTCTCATACTTTTGCATGAAGTAGAATTTCTTGGCCCCGAGAAACGATTTAAGCACTCATTGAACGTATTGCCTACAGTGGCGTGCAGAAAAAATTTGCTTTTGACATTAGGTGAATAAAACCGAATTTATAAATTAAATTATAATATGCATTAAACAGCTTGATGAACAAATCCAAGTTCTTAATACAGAAGTATATTCCAGTGGCGTAACACGAAGAGCATCTTTTGGTTTGGCGGTAAGAACTTAAAAATTGGTACTTTTCAAAATGCTATGATGCTGGTCTACACTGCTGTTCACCTTTCATCTGGAATTTTTTAACCTTCTTATTCAGCATTGGCGTACCCGCTTGGTTAAAAGGGTCCTTCTTTGAATAACCTTCCGCAATAATGTCTTTTGGCTCGACCTCGAATTTATTTCTGTCATGGGTAGCTTTTTTTTTAAAAAAAAAAAGTGCAATTGACTGGTCTCCTGACAAGTAATGGAGACCAACTTACACACAATAGTCAGTGTTGTAAGAGGTAGCGTTATTGCTGCGCAATACGCTTGCAGATACCTTTTAAAGGAGGTGCTAAGTCTCAGGTCGGAATAGTTCAGTAGTAACAGGCATGTGGAGTGCAGAATCTAAGGTCTAAATGTTAAACAGTGCTGAGCATCAGGTCAGAATGTTGCCATGCGTTTTATTAAATTAGCTGTCCACCACCTTCGTGTTCCTGTTTGCTACAATTTTGCAGCGGATGCGGCCTATTTGGCACGCTGCTTCATGTGTTCTTGTGCTTAAATATGCAGGATGAGTTTGCCTGGATCATTTAAACACTTTCAATGTGGTGAACAAATTTACCGTGCTAACATCTTAGAGGAAAATGATATAAAGCGATGGATAGAAGAGTATGATATAACATATACGAATTGGAATGTGAAGTCAGCAAAGAATAATTATACCAGATTCAAATGCAGGTTTGTGTTCAATGTCAATTCAATGACGTAGAATCTTCTTGGAGAATCTTCTTGATACGAATAGACTGAGGAATAGACTTTAGAAAATAATTTTTTTAGATATGTTTTTGTATGCCATCATGGGGCTTACAAAAAAGTGGATCAAGGAAATAATAAGAAAGGAAAATCAGCAGTTGAGTGCCGAATCTAAGGTCAAAATGTTATAAACAGTGCTGAGCATCAGGTCAGAATATTGCCATGCGTTTGGCGCGGTTTTTATATTAAATCAGCTGTCCACCACCTTCGTACAATTTTGCAGCGAATGCGGTTTGTGTGACACGTTGCTTTATGCGTCCTTGTGCTTTATTGTGCTTTACATGCAAAATGAATTTGTCTGAATCATTCAAACACTTTCAATGTGGTGAACAAATTTACCGTGCATTTTAGAGGAAAACATAGTACTGAACAGTGAAGAAAGCTGTTCAGTTCATGTGGCAACAAGTAAATAAAACTTATGTTTGCTGATTTTGTGCCGCGTTGACGGGGCAACATTCCAACCTGCAGCTGGGCAATATTTACCATTTTGACCTTAGATTCGGCACTCCACATACCTATTGCTACAGAACCATTTCGACCTGATGCTCAGCACCGTTCAACATACCAGTGCGGATTTCGGTTCTCCGCATTAATTGGCGATCCGAATTCAAACTATTCAAACGGACCAATGAAATATATGTAGGTGCCGAATCCTATACCGGAATGTTTGGATGCCGCCGGGGCGGATCGCACCGCAAAACTCCGTCTACCATAGATTCAAATGAATCTGCATCCACTCTGCAATTCCATTTTAATCTATGGTAGACGGATTTTTGCGATGCGATCCTCCCTGACCTGTTCCGCTTAGTAGACGCGTACCTCAGAAGGTATCTACCAGTCTATTGCGCAGCAATAACGGTATCTCCTACATCACTCAATATTGTGTATAACTAGGTGGTCTCCATTACTTCTCAGGACGCACATGAATTCGAAAGACATTTATGTGAGAAGTTATCCAACAAAAGACCCTTTTATCCAAGCAGGTACGCCAATGCTGGATGAAAAAGATAACAAATTCCAGATGAAAGATGAACAGCAGTATTTGCTAGTATCATATAGCATTTTGAAAAATACCAATTTTTAAGTTCTTCTTACCAAACCAAAACATACTCTTGGTATTACGCCACTGAAATACACCCTTGTATTAAGAATTGTAACTTGAATTTGTTCAATAAGCTGTTTAATTGCATAGTATATTTATAAATTCCGTTAGCAAATTTTTTCTGCACGCCACTGTAGGCAATAACGTTCAATAAGTGCTCAAATCTTTTCTCGGTCCCAAGAAAATTCACTTCATGCAACAGTATGAGAAAAAATACCCATTCTCAAGAGAAACCCCGAAAAAGTCCCTTTAGGGATAAATGTAACCCTTTTTAAAAATTCGATAATTTGCGTTATAGCCAACTTTTTTTGGAATAGTCGGTCTCCATTACTTATACTGAGAAGACCAGTCAAATTGCACATTTAAAAAAAAAAAAAAAGCTACCCGTGACAGAAAAAAAAATCGAGGTCGATCCGAAAGACATGATTGCGGGAGGTTATTCAAAGAAGGACCCTTTAATCCAAGCGGATACGCCAATGCTAAATAACCAGGTTCAAAAATTCCCGATGAAAGATGAACAGCAGTGTAGACCAGCATCATATAGCATTTTGAAAAATACCAATTTTTTAGTTCTTCCCACCAAATCAAAAGATGCTCTTGGTGTTACGCCACTGGAATGCACTCCTGTATCAAGAGTAGTAACTTGGATTTGTTCATTAAGCTGTTTATTTGCATAGCATAATTTAATTTATAAATTCGGTTTCAATTACATAATGTCAAAAGCAAATTTTTTCTGCACGCCACTGTAGGCAATACGTTCAATGAGTGCTTCAATCTTTTCTCGGGGCCAAGAAATTCCACTTCATGCATAAGTATGAGAAAAAATACCCATTCTCAAGCGAAACCCCAAAAAAAGTCACTTTTTTAGGGATAAATGTAACCCCTTCTTAAAAATTCGATAATTTGCGTTATAGCACAGCCCCCTACACTTACAAGCCATGAAGTTGGAAATGACGGCAACGTCGCGTATGGTGCTATTTTGTTATCGAGGTTTGTTTCTGTGTATTACGTTCATTGTGTATTGTTGCAGTTTAGTATTTTTGTGGGCATTATTGACGAACAAGTGGATAGAAACACACCGATATATTGCCCATATTTAGTTGATACCTGTTCCTTTGTGCTTTGATTGCAAATTTTCAGCAAATGGGTACAGCAGCAAAAATGAAGGTTAGGTAAGGTAAAACAATAAAAACAATATTAATATTTGTGTACAAGAGCATAGGTCTCGATATATTACCTAAGATATTTAAACTTGTTCCAGATGCCATGAAACTACTGTGTTCCTGGGTGCAAATCGAACTAGGAGTTCCTTAAAAACTGAAGAAATGCAAACATTTATTTCCAAAAAAATTCTGAAATGCAGAAGTTGTGGATGAAAGCAATACACCAAGATAATTATACCCGAGATTGGCGAGATTATACCATAACGAAAAATTCTGTGGTGTGTTGTGAACATTTTGAAGAAACCGAAATAATTAGATTTGAAACAAACAAGAATAAAGGAGTAATTCGAGAGTTCAAACTAAAACGTCCAACTCTTAAAAGTACCTCTTATTTTCGGAAATCAGCTCAAGTATTTGAATAAACCTGCCTTCTGAAAAAATCCCGAAGAAAGAAAAAGTTAGATTTTCAAAAGACATACTGAAACATAGGCTTATAACACTTTAGAATCTAGAAATATATTCATTTAAATCAATTATTTACTGTTCTTATTTACACATATAGTTATATTATTCATTGAATTACTGTTTTTGACCCTTTAGTACAATAAATGATGCATTTTTTGTCATTATTATTAACAAAATAAAAAATATATACTTATAAAAACAAACACCACCAGCACCACTTGGCGGTAAGATTGCGGTGTTGCCTTTTTAACTTCATGGCTTGTTAACTGTAGGAGGCTGTG